TCACAATGGTACGTCCCGGTCGGGTGAACGCGCGCAGTGCGCATGCGCGGGGCGAACCATTGCGCAGCAGAAGGGGGAGGGGCGCTGCGCAGCGCGCCTGCGCACTGGCGGGAAGTGGGAGAAGCGGAAGTGGCGGCGCCATTTTGTGGGCGGTGCCATTTTAGTGGGCGGCGCCATTTTGTGGGCGGCGACGGGAAACGGAGTCCGCGTTCCGTTTTGGGGTAAAAGTGAGGAAAAATGGGCCTGCGGTGCGTGTTTGTGGTACTGAAGAGTGGGAATGAGGCTCTTCCCTCCGTTTTAGTTTATAAGTGAGGGGAAAATGGGGCCCTTCGCTTATTTTGGGGGCTATAAATGAGGGAAAAGGGGAGAAATTACCGTTTTTTGAGTGAAATTGGGGGGAAAACTGGGGAAATTGGTTCATTTTGGGGTAAAACTGAGGGAAAATAAACGTCCTTGTTCCGTTTTTGGGGGTGTGAGGTAAAGTTGGGGGGGATCGGAGTCATTTTTGGGGCAAAAAATGATGGAAAACTGGGGGGAAATGTTCATTTTTGGGGGCATAAATGTGGAAAATCGTGTTCTCATTTCTTTTTGGGGTGAAACTGAGTGAAAAAGGGTCCGTGATCACATCTAGGGAAAATGAAAGGGGAAATTGGGGCAAAATGTTCATTTTGGGGGTATAAATGGGGGAAAAACGGTTCCCTGCTCCAATTTTTGGGGATAAAAATGGGAAAATTGAGTTCCCCAGAACATTTTGGGGTAAAATTGAGGGAAATTGGGGTCCTCTGTTCATTTTTTTGTGGTATAAATGAAGGGGAAAAGTGCTTTCCTGTCAATTTTGGGGTATAAATGAACAAAATGAGGTCGCGGGTCCTCGTTTTTGGGAAGAAAAAAAATGGGGGAAATCAATCCCCAATCATTTTTGGGTGTAAATGGGGGAAAACTAGGGACTGTGGTTCATTTTGGGGTAAAACTGAGGGGAAAAGGGACTCATTTTGGGGGTAGAGATGAGGGGCAATGTGTTCCATTTGGGAATTAAAAATTAAAAAAAAATTAAAATTGGGGTCCCTGCTCCATTTTCGGCTATAAATGAGTCCATTTTGGGGTAAAACAAAGGGAAATTGGGGTCCCATGATCGTGTTTGGTGATAAAAGTGAGGAAATTTGGGGTCCATGCTCCTCTTTGGGGGCATAGATGGGGAAAATGTGCTCTTTTTTGAGGGTACAACTGAAGGAAATGTGGTCCCCAGACCCCTTTTTGGGCTACAGTCATGGGAAATGGGGTCCCCAGACCCCTTTTTGGGATACAACCAAAAGAAATGTGGTCCCCAGAGCATTTTGTGGGGTGCAATCGATGGAAATGAGATCCGCAAAACCACTTTTTTGGGGTACAATGGAAGGAAATGGGGTTCCCAGGCCCGTTTTTGGGGTACAAATGAAGGAATCGGGGTCAGCAGACCCTTTTTGGGGTACAGTCATGGGAAATGGGGTCCCCAGACCCCTTTTTGGGGTACAATCAAAAGAAATGTGGTCCCCTAAGCACTTTTTGGAAGGAAATGAGATCCCCAAAACCACTTTTTTGGGGTACAATGGAAGGAAATTGGGTTCCCAGGCCCCTTTTTGGGTACAACCGAAAGAAATGGGGTCCCAGACCCCGTTTTGGGGTACAACTGAAGGAAATGGGGTCCCCAGACCTCTTTTTGGGTACAACCATGTGAAATGTGGTTCCCAGAGCACTTTTTGAGGTACAACCATGTGAAATGTGGTTCCCAGAGCACTTTTTGAGGTACAAACGAAGGAAATGGGGTCCTCAGACCACTTTTTGGGTACAACCACATGAAATGTGATTCCCAGAGCACTTCTTGGGGTACAACTGAAGGAAACAGGGTCCCCAGACCACTTTTTGGGTACAGCTGAAGGAAATGTGGTCCCCAGACCCCTTTTTGGGGTAGAACTGAAGGAAATGGGGTTCCCAGACCCCTTTTTGGATACAACCACGTGAAATGTGGTTCCAGAGCAGTTTTTGGGGTACAACCGAAGGAAATGGGGTTCTCAGACCCCATTTTGGGGTACAACTGAAGGAAACAGGGTCCCCAGACCACTTTTTGGGTACAGCTTAAGGAAATGTGGTCCCCAGACCCCTTTTTGGGGTACAACCGAAGGAAATGGGGTCCTCAGACCCCTTTTTAGGTACAACCACATGAAATGTGATTCCCAGAGCACTTCTTGGGGAACAGCCGAAGGAAATGGGGTTCTCAGAGCACTTTTGGGGGTACAACCAACATGGAAGCGTTGTTTCCCTCCCAATTTGGGGTACAACAAGGCGAAAACTTTGTCCCCTCCCACCGCAACCCCAAAAAGACACCGCAATCCTTCAGCCCTCAGCCACCAGTGCCGCCATGTTGTCACCGTCACAACGTCACCGCCATGCTGTCACCACCCAGGTGTCATCGCCACCCATCACTGCCATGTTGTCACCGTCACGCTGTCACACCATCACCGCCATGTTGTCACCAGCAAGCCGTCACCGTCATCACATTGTCATTGTCGTGCTGTCACCACCACGTTGTCACCATCACGTTGTCACAGTCATGCCGTCACTGTCACACCGTCACCGCATCACTGTCACGCTGTCATCGTCACAGTGTCACAATCACATAATTGTCACGTTGTCACCACCATGGTGTCACCGTTATGTTGTCACCATCACCATGTCATCACTGTCACATTGTCACTGTCACGTTGTCACCATTGTGTCGTCACTGTCACGTTGTCACCGTCACCACCATGCTGTTGCTGTCACATTGTCACTGTCACAACCATGTCGTCCCTGCCACGTTGCTACCATCACGCTGTCGCCGCCATGTCGTCACCGTCACACCGTCACCACCATGTTGTCACCGTCAGGTTGTCACCACCACGTTGTCAACGTTAAGTTACCAACGTCAAGTTGTCAACGCCATGTTGTCGCTGTTGTCACCGCCATGTCGTCACCGTCACGTCACTGCCTTGTCATCACCATGTTGCCACCGCCATGTTGTCACTGTCACGTTGTCACCTTGTCACCGCCATGTCGTCGACTCCATGCTGTCACCGCCATGTTGTCACCATCACACCATCACCTCCACGTTGTTGCTGCCATGTTGTCGCCACCATGTCGTCACTGATGCCGTGTCACTGTCACTGCCACATCGTCACCGCCATGTTGTTGCCATCACATTGTCATCGCCGTGCTGTTGTCGCCGCCACGTTGTCACTGCTGCCATGTTGTCGCCATCACACCATTGCCTCCATGTTGTCGCCGCCGCCATCACACCGTCACCTCCATGTTGTCACCACCGCCATGTTGTCGTCGCCATGTTGTTGTCACCATCACACCATCGCCTCCATGTTGTCACTGCCGCCATGTTGCCGTCGCCATGCTGTCGCCACCGCCATGCCGTTGTTGCCGTCGCCACGTCGTTGTCGCCGCCATGTCATCGCCGCCGCCGCCATGTCGCCATCACATTGCCGTTGCCATGTTGCCATCGCCATGTTGTAGCCACCGTGTCGCCGCCGCCGTGTTGTCGTCGCCGCCATGTTGTCGCCGTCGCCACGTCGTCGCCGTCAGTCACGTTTCTGGCCGGTGCTTCGGCCGCAGCGCCGCCAGCGCCTCCAGTTGAGGAAGAGGAGGGCGGCGTTGACGGCGTAGGTGCTGAGGCAGACGACGCAGAGGTCGTGGAGGCCGAAGGCCAAAACCAGCGCCAGGTACAGCGACGCCACCACCGACGTCACCGACGTCACCAGCAGCGCCGCCGAGGAGGCTCTGCCCGGCACCGCGCCTGTAGGGGGGCAACGGGAATGATGGACGGCTGTGGGGACACACGGACATGGCGGAGGACGTACGGACAGAGGGACAGAGATGGGGAGACGCTGGGGACAAATGGATGGAGATGGGGACACACGGACAGATGGGGACACTTCAGGGACACACGGACATGGAGGTGTCAGGGACACACGGACGGAGATGGGGACATGTTGGGGACACATGGACATGGCGGAGGACATACGGACAGAGGGACAGAGATGGGGAGACGCTGGGGACAAATGGATGGAGATGGGGACACACGGACAGATGGGGACACTTCAGGGACACACGGACATGGCGGTGTCAGGGACACACGGACGGAGATGGGGACATGTTGGGGACACATGGACATGGCGGAGGACGTACGGACAGAGGGACGGAGATGGGGACACGCTGGGGATAAATGGATGGAGATGGGGACACACGGACAGAAGGACAGATGGAGATGGGGACACTTCAGGGACACACGGACATGGAGGTGTCAGGGACACGTGGACGGACATGGGGATGTTTTGGGGACAGACGGACATGGTGGGGGACACACGGGACACATGGACTGGAGGAACATACAGACAGACGGACAGAGATGAGGACACACTGGGATGGAGATGGGGATACATGGACAGAAGGACAGAGGGAAATGGGGACACTTCAGGGACACACGGACATGGAGGGAGGACACACGGACATGGGGGACAGAGATGGGGACAGACGGACATGGGGGGACAAATAGAGATGAAGACACAAGGACAGATGTGGCGATGAGTTGGGGACACATGGATGGAGATGGGGGGACACACGGACGGGGATGGGGACACTTTGAGGACGGACAGACGGGGATGGGGACACACGGACAGGGATGGGGACACATTGGGGCCATGTTGTGGCTACGGGGACACACTGGGGACACACAGACAGGGATGGGGACACAATAGGGACACACGGGCAGGGATGGCGACGAGTTGGGGACAGACGGACAGGGAGGGGGACACACGGACGGGGATGGGGACAGACGGACAGGGATGGCGACGAGTTGGGGACAGACGGACAGGGAGGGGGACACACAGACGGGGATGGGGACACATTGGGGCCATGTTGCGGCTACGGGGACACGCTGGGGACACACGGACAGGGAGGGGGACACATGGACGGGGATGGGGACGAGCTGGGGACAGACAGACAGGGAGAGGGACACATGGACGGGGATGGGGACACATGGACGGGGATGGGGACACATTGGGGCCATGTTGTGGCTACAGGGACACGCTGAGGACACACGGACGGGGATGGGGACACAGTGGGGACACACAGACAGGGATGGCGACGAGTTGGGGACAGATGGACAGGGAGGGGGACACACGGACAGGGAGGGGGCACATTGGGGACGCACCAAGCAGTGCCTGCAGGCTGTAGAAGACGATCCCAATGACGCTGTTGGGGACGTTGATGGCGCTGTCCCGACCCACAACCGCCTCCAGCAGCCCCAAACCGCGGCCCCACCTGTGGGATCCACCCCACTGAGACCCACAGGGACCACAGACCGCCCCATAGAGACCCCAAAACCACCCCAATGGGACCCCAGAACCACCCTACAGAGACCCACCATCTCAACTGGATCCCAATGGCCCCAAAAATTCCCCACAGAAACCCCAAAACTGCCCCACAGAGACCCACCATCTCAATTGGATCCCAGTGACCCCAAAACCGCCCCTTAGAGACCCCAAAACCACCCCAATGGGATCCCAGAACCACCCTACAGAGACCCACCATCTCAACTGGATCCCAGTGGCCCCAAAAATTCCCCACAGAGACCCCAAAACTGCCCCACAGAGACCCACCATCTCAATTGGATCCCAGTGACCCCAAAACTGCCCCATAGAAACCCCAAAACTGCCCCAATAGGATCCCAGTGGCCCCGAATCCACCCCATAGACACCCACTGGCCCAAGGGAACCCCAGTTACCCTGAAACCACCCCATAGAAACCCCAAAACTGCCCCACAGTGACCCACCATCTCAATTGGAACCCAGTGACCCCAAATCCACCCCACAGAGACCCACAGAGCCAAGGTAACCCCAGTTACCCCGAAACCGCCCCATAGAGACCCCAAAACTGCCCCAATAGAATCCCAATGACCCTGAATCCACCCCATAGACACCCACCAACGCAAGGGAACCCCAGTGACCCCGAAACCACCCCATAGAAACCCCAAAACTGCCCCACAGCGACCCACCATCTCAATTGGATCCCAATGATCCCAAAACCGCTCCATAGAGACCCCAAAACCGCCCCAATGGGAACCCAGTGACCCCAAATCCACCCCATAGAGACCCAAAACTGCCCAATGGGAACCCAGTGACCCCAAATCTACCCCATAGATACCCACCGACCCAAGAGAACCCCAGTGACCCCAAAACTGCCCCACAAAGCCCCCAAAACTGCCCCACAGCGACCCACCATCTCAACTGGATCCCAGTGACCCCAAAACGGCCCCACAGAGACCCCAAAACCACCCCAATAGGATCCCAGTGATCCCAAATCCACCCCATAGAGACCCACCAAGCCAAGGAAACCCCAGTGACCCCAAAACTGCCCCACAGAGCACAGAAATCCCAGAACTGCTCTACATTGACCCCCAAGCCCCCCCATAGAGACCCCAAAACTGCCCCACAGTGACCCCAAAACCACCCCATAGAGACCCCAAAACCGCCCCAAAATAACCCAGAGCTCCACCCACACCCATATAAGGAAATACTGCTGCTAAGCCCCGCCCC